GCAGCCAGTTCGTGAGTACTTAAGGTGCTATCAGTTCTAGCCGACCTGTGACAATGAGACTGTCACAGGTCGGCTCAGTAGATCGGGAGGTGAGCAAACACATACCAGGTTCGCTCACCTCTCGATCCTGGATTCCCCTCTCCCCGCTCTGATCCGCCAGCGCTGACTGGCGGAACGGACGGGGGAGGGGGCGGGTACAGCTGGCTCTGCCTCTAGATAGGCAGAGCCAGCTGTCACTCACGCAGCTGGGCGGATCCAGTCATCTACGTCGGGATCCGCTGCGGCGTCTCAGTATACAGCTCGCGGTATACTGAGCTTAGGGTAACGGGAGGACGCTAGTTTGTGTCCTGTTAGCCTAAGGAGAACTATGGGGAAAAACACTGACCCCATAGTTCTCTAAGATTTGGTGTAGTTCAGCACTTCCAGAATCCTTGTCTGATGTAGGGACCTCCTGAGCTTTCTGTTGAGTACCACAAACCCTTGCATAATTTTGTCCCGGAGGAGTTGCAGGCAGCTACTATAGCTCCCAGGCTTGAAACCAGCTCGGTTCTTACTGATGCAGTGCGTACCACCTTAGAGTTTTGAAAACAGCCTATGACTGTTACTAGTCTGGGATTCCTGAAAGGCCCGAAGACTACCAAAACCACTACTACACAACTTTCTCTGTCAAAGGGGCCAGCTTCGCTGAGCTGACAAAATTAACACCAATCGGCAAAAATAAAAACTCCAGTGTTTCTTTAGTGCTAGGTTTGTGCTGCAAAAATTAACATTTGTGCTGCTTTTATTTCGAAAGAGAATGGCAATTGTTTTTTTTAAGGTGATGATGTCACCGGCCCCCTACAACAGCAGAACAGCTTGAAACTTGCTGGATGCTTAGTTGTTTGTGCCGTTTAAATCTCCATTCTATCTACTTTCATTTTTGGTTAACCATTTATTAAAGGTCACCCAGACACAAAACCGGTCTGGTTAGTGCTACAATTGTGCTGTAAAAATTATCATTTGTGCTTTTATTTTTAAGATGATAGCAATTGTGTCGCCAAAGCAGACCTTTGGTTTTAGGATAATTGCTGTTTTAGAAATAAAAGCGACAAATGTTAATTTTTGTGGCACGAACAAGCTAACCCGGTTTCGTGTCTTTTTTAGGAGGTGGCTGGGTGACCTTTAGTGACCCTTAATAAAATCAACTCTAAAAAGAAAGAAAATTGAGATTTAAACTACACAAACCAGCACAAAAATTGCATTAACTACCCAGCCCGGTTACATGTGTTTTGGCTGTTGTAGGCTGGGGCGGGTGGGGCTCCAGCTCCAGGCCTGCCCCTGCACATAGGCCCGGCCGGCCCGAGCTGTCCATGCAGCCACTGCCCTCTATTCAGGCCTATCAGTCAACGAAGCTGGTCCCCCGACAATCGTCACAAAGAAAAACTCGTGTATTTCTTTAGTGCTACGTTTGTGCTGCAAAAATTAAACATTTGTGCTGCTTTTATTTTTTAAAATTACAGCAAACCGCAATTATCCTAAAACCAAAGGTCTCCTTTGATGCATAATTGCTATAATCTAAAAAATAAAATCAGCACAAACTTAGCACTAGCCATCTGGGTGGGGCTGGTGATCTCATCACCTTGAAAAAAAAACAATTGCTATTATCTTTAAAATCAAAGCAGCACAAATGTTATTTTTTGCGGCACAACAGCACAAACCTAGCACTAAAACACAAGTTTTTATTTGTGCCGATTGTCGTGGGGCCAGCTGCGCTGAGCTAATTTTGTCGACAAATTATTTGTAATTAGTTTTTATCAGCGGCATGTTTTAAGTGATAAAAACTAAAAAAACTAAATAAAATAAGTTAATAGGACAAATTGACAAATACATTTTCATAGCTAAGACCATTCGGATGACAAATGGCATTCTGAATTGTTTTTTACTTTTGTCAACAATTTCTAGCAGAGAAAATTGCAATGTATTTTCGTTGTTTTAGTCCCCTTAACTTTTTTTTAGATTTCATCACTAAAAATTTGTAAACCCGCACATTTAGTATACCAAAGTACAGTATGTGAAACAATTTGCACTGTTTTAAATACAATTCTAGTCGTCACCTTTTTGCTATGCCTTGTTGCATTCCTTTGCTGCTGATCCCCTGCAGCCCCTTGGCAGCTGTTTCCTATCTGCATTCATGCACTCTGGCCAGGATTGCTGCACAGCTCCCCTGAGTGCCCACATGGCGCCCCTAAGCTGCACAGGCCCCCTGGGAGCCCATATAAACCACCTGAGAGCCCACCCAGCCCCCTAGAGAGCCCAAACAGACCACCTGAGAGCCCACCTGAAAACCCTCTAGGCCACCCGAGAGCTGCACAGCCCCACAGAGAGCCCATACATACCACCTGAAAGACCACAGAGCCCACCCAAAAGCCATAATAGACTAATAGCCTGTACAGACCACCTGAGAGCCTGTACAGACCACCTCAGAACTGCACAGCCCCCCCCCTGAGAGTATTTGGGTCTAATTGAAGGGTTGGCACTTTGAGATACATAAGTTGGTTTAGTGATCCAGTTTGGGCACTCCGGCTCAAATGTTCACCATCACTGATCTAGGCCTTATGCTGGATATGGCTTATGTTGATTTCATTTGTTTTTTAGGGATAAAGTGATCTTACAGCCAATGGGTTCATTAATTTGTTTTTAATGAAGTCACCTTTTTCTAATCACATGCGATATTTCACTGGAAAAGGTCACTTGACCATGTTATCTCATGTGATAATGTTTAATGAATTGAGCCCTGTATGTGCTAGAACAGAAGTTCCCTTCTAGATATTGATGACCGAGAATTTCCCAAACCGTTTTGTAATTATTTCTGAGTATATTCAGTTAGGTTGACCTCAGATGAAATCAGAGCCGGCTGGCCTTTACCATTGTGAGCTATATGGCCCTACCATACAGAGGGTTACGGACACCTAGTTTGTGTGACAAAACTCCAAAGCTGAAATCCAATGTGCATCTCTCACGAGCTGTGCTAAGAAGCTCCATTCAGCATGCAATCTACTAGAATGTTTGTCTGACAATATGCCAATGATATCAATTATGTATATCAGCCTTTTTCAACCAGGGTGCTGCAGCACCCTGGGGTGTCTTCTGGTGCTTTGTCAGCAGTGCCTTAAATCTTTGTTATGGGATCCTTATGTGAAGGGGGCACTCTGATGTGATTGGGAGCTCTTGATGTGAAGGGGGGACTTTGATGTGAAGGGAGCTCCTTATATGAAGGAAGCCCCTGATGTGAAGGAAGCCCTCTGATGTGAGGGAAGCTACTGTTGCAAAGAGGGGAACAGTTTGTTTTTTGCATGGGATCCAGCCTTAAAATCCATACTTTACCTTGGTCTGGAATAAGGGTTTGGTATTGAATTGAGGGGAGGGAGGTGGCACATATATATATATTTTTTTACCGTTTCAGAATGGGGTGCCTCAAGATTTTGCATTCTTTTAAAAGGTGCCCTGACTGCAAAAAGGTTAAGAAACACATATATACTGAAGCAAATGTAATAGCTAAATGACAGTAAATTGCAGTATTTTCCATGTGTGCTACCGTGTTTCAATACACAGATACAAGATGAAATGAAACACTTATACAAATTGCGGGTCTGCTGAGGATGCCATTTTACTTCCACGATAGATGTACAAAGTTCAACATGCAACCCATCCGAAACAAAACATGTCACACAAATCTTCATCCAGACCTGAATGACATGACTGCTCTGCAAAACGGAAAATTGTATCATACTTACCAGTAATTTTCCTTTCCTGGTGCCTGTCCATGGCAGCATACAAACGATAAGGGCGGAGCTTATCGTTTGTATGCTGCTATGGACAGGCACCAGGAAATATGAGTTGTATCATCAATCCAAGTACAAGGGTACAAAATCTTCGCTATATTCACAGAAACCTAAGTTGTTTTTGCTTTACTTTTCTGGTCCTCTAAGACAGTGCTTCTTAAAGTGTGGGTCGTGACCCCATGTGGGGTCCCTCAAGTTAACAGGGGGTTGCGATCCGAGTCCCGGCCAGGACCGCCATCAGGGGGGTATGGCCGGTACTTGTCTGAGGGGCCCAGGTGGCCAAAGAGATGTGGGCTCCAAGCTAGATTGTTTTTGCTGGGGGGGGGGGAGAGAAGACGAGACGAGAGAGACACTGAC